GAAGTGGTAGAATTGAAAAGATAAGTATCTATTATTTTACCACACGCAAATACTATTAGAGACTTTGTTTTCTCATTTGATTATTGATTTGACTTCCCACGCCCCATCACCCTTATTGCAGCCACTAATCTTATTACTTCTGAAGCAGATACTTTACATTATTCATTTCGACATCATGCAAAGAACAACTGCCTACTAACAACAAAATTTGATTTACTTTTATTTGGTTTAGTAAAACAAATGGTTTAAAAGCATCAAGCAGCACGTAGGCAAAGTTAAATATACGCAAGCTGTTCTTTGTTTGCAGAGAATAGGTAGAAAGTACAAGCATTTTCCATAAAGGAAGATTCGGTTTTCGAGACATGAAGCAGCTGACAATGCTTATGACCTGCAAATTTTCCTCCCTATGCTAAAGAGTAACATCCCTATCCACATTTTCATTCTGGGACGTAAACAACTTAGGGAAAATTAAATGTAGCAATTTGTGTTATGCACATCAAGGAGCGATAAATGGTGACTGCGTGTTTTATTCGACATACAGCAAAAAGTGCGACCTATGCCGTAAAACAGTAGCAGAGTATACAGTGGACTGCACAATTTGAATAAAGCTACCAATCACTCCAATGATGCTACTGTAATGGTAGAATAGCAACAAAGAGAAGTTTAGTAACATTTTTGAAAATACACTCATTAAACTGTTAATATGAAAACGTTCTCCGGTTGTATGACGCAACAGTCATAACTTTAAAGCATTCTTTCTTTACTTTGTTTAAATATAAACAGTTAAAAGACTAGGGCCTGTTTTCTCCCTCGAGGCTAAAGGTGCCACAATTATCGCGGGATTGACGTAAACTTACAGCAACTCACAGAAAGGGCCCAAAAGTGTCTTCCTAGGAATCATTTTTTAGCCGCTCTAAAGATTGGGAAATTCTTGAAGAACAAGTTGTAAGAAAATGCACCATCATAGCTCTACTAGACGTCAACAATGAAGATCATGGCAGATCATACATGACAAAGGGTTCTTCTATCGCTTTCAACGAGTAAGTGTGAACAAAGTACCTACAACTATTAGCAGATCGAGGAATGAGGCCGTGAAATGGATAAGCGTTCACATCCGGAATGGATTTCGAGGAAGAAGGGAGCACAGGCGCTAATTTCTTAACTGGCTGGTAATATTTTCAACGAACAAACATCAGCAGTTGCTCTGGTCCCACCGCTTTAAGGTGTGGTTGGATTTCGTTTCACTACAGAGAAATGCTACTCACTGACGAAGTGGAAGACTGGAAGGCAATGGGGAAAACTACTCTACTGGGTATAGTCCAAAATTCTCGCGCTGCTGCGCATGAAGTCAGACAAGTTGCTACACTGTAGCCATGTGATTTGTGAAGTATTTAAACAACACAAGTCGAACTATTGCCGATTATTGCAATTCTGTCTACACCTCGCTACCGAACTTTTGGCTCAAGCCAAATTTGTTGTTCCAGGACCTGATAGAGACCCACAACCATGTTCACGGAGTTCACTTAATCGAAAACTTTAAGCCAATATATTATTTTTAATAGACATACACTATTTGACTACTCCCAACTTTAGCAGCTGCCTTTACAAATTAGCATTAGTTATTTTCATATAGACCGCCTGAAAATCATTAAGCGTCACACACAAGTTGCACACCGCTGAGACTCATAGATGTGAACAGTGTCAGAAGCCTACTGTACTCAATTACACTCGACTCCTATGACATTCCCTGAGTGATCGTCGATGATGGCATCAAATGTGTCTCCGGCCAATTTTAAATGCGTGGACTGATGATCTTAGCTTGGAATGGATGGTCGAAACTAGAACGGTGAAGATGGAAACAGACAAAAAGAAGGGATTAAGCAGTGATGCGTTGCCTTATTTAGGCTTATATTTGATGACGCAAGGCAAACTGATAGAGACTTCACAGTGCTTCTGTACTTTATGAGCAAAATTTTAGGCTGGAACCGTAATTGATGTTGGTTTGGGTAGAACTTGTAAGTGAGTGTCGGTCGGGAACACGAATCTTGTCAATGAACGGATGTTATTTGCTCGAGAAAGAAAAGAGTATTTTAAACGATTGTAACACTAATTAGCATACCCCATACATATTGTTTCTAATAACGGATGCTTCCATCTACTCGGTCTAATCGGTTGAAGGCTGAAGTAGAAGAGGTGAAAACGGAATTCGTCATTCTTACGGGAATGCTGCAGGACCGGTCCCTTTTATGAATAATACGGTGGTTTAAAGTAACAAGGTAATGCTTCTGTCCCCGCCATCATCAACGACGGAGGATACCTTGGAGTCAGAAGTGTCGAAAGCTCATTGTGCTAATATTTGTAGGTCCATTGGGTGCACCGCATAGTCGTCCTTCATAATTCAAAGTGATAG